CCATTTCCCCCCTTCTTCTCCCCCATGGTCCTCAGTTAAGTTCCTCCTAATCCTCCTACACGTGCAAACGTATGATATTTGTCCTTCTCTGCCTGACTTATTTCGCTCAGCATAACACCCTCAACGTCTATCCATGTTGCTACACATGGCCAGATTTCATTGTTTCTCATTGCCATGTAGTATTCCATGGTATAGATAAACCACATCTTCTTGATCCATTTGTCCGTTGATGGACACTTAGGCTCTTTCCATGTTTTGGCTATTGTTGAGAGTGCTGCTATGAACTAAAGTTATACTTCTATAATATTGCTATGTTCACTTATATATCCACATATTTGAGGAAGAGAGAAAGTAAGAATGTTCAGAATTGTAGAGCTCTGAATATCCCTATGAGAGTGTGCCAGGCATGAGAATATCAGCATTATTTAGAAGAGCTGCTCCAATGAAACCTTTCTCTGACCAACATTTTTTCTATTGGGTGCTCTGTCTTTTGAGAGGAAAAAAACAGATATAAGATTTACAAAATTTCTGATATGCTGGTATAAAATTATTGAGCTGTGGGTTTCACAGCTTTCCTCATCCCCCTTTGTTGCCTTTAATTTCTTCCCCTCTTACTATTCTGTCAAAAGAAAGGATAAAATCTTCTCAGGTGAATTCTTGAGAAAAAAAGCAATTAGAGTGGAATAAAAACCATAGGGACCCTAGTGGATGTGAGAGTTATGTCAGTATAAAAGTGTGGGAGAAACCTGGGAGTCTGGGAATACTTGAGTGTTTAATAGAGTACAGAAGGGTTTAGTCAGAGTTGCTGTGGATTAGACACTTAAACTCCTTTACTTGTTTGAGAGATAAATGGGAGGAAAGATGAAATTCTACTCTCTGTCATGTTTCTTTAAACCAACATCACTTGGAGACAGATGACAGGGCTTTGGGACTCAGGGGATGAATGGGGCAGTTCATAAAACAAACCATGTGTTCTTCAGCTAACATTGCTATCTTTCATACCACTTCTCTTCTCCTTAAACAGTCTCAGCTCTCTGAGATCAAGGACAGGGTGGATGGGTGGCATTGGAGGTGAAGGGGTAGAAAAGGGTAACCTGCTTGGGCTGCTGTGAAAATAAGAAAGGTGATAATGGTTTAGGGCATAGTACCCTTAGAACCCTGGTTCCTTTTGTTTTTCAAACAGAAGTGTGTGTGTGTGTGTGTGTGTGTGTGTGTGTGTGTGTGTGTGTGTGTGTATAAGGCTCCAGGCTCCCAGTTGTCAGCAAAGGGCCGGAGGCGGGTCTCAAACTCACTAACTGTGAAATCATGACCTGAGTCGAAGTTGGATGTTTAACCAACCGAGCCAGCCAGGCACCCCTCAAACAAAAGTACATTAAAAGCAGTAAACACTAGCACATCTATCTTTGTCAGAAACAAGGATAGCAAATCAGTCACAAAAAACTTCATTTGGTCACCTAGAGATTAGACTTTGAAATTGAATGAAACCCCCAACTTTATATAAAGTATGCAACCCTTGCCCATGTGGTAGCAGATGGCCATTGGCTGGCCTGTCCACAGGATACTGCACATCCTGTTAAACCATAAATTTCTGGCCCTAAGACACAAGGCCTTATGTTGACTTTACCTCAGGAGCATTTTGACATTTTGGCATTTTCTCATTTTAGAGTCTTCATCATTATTTTCTAAATATGGTAAACATTCATAAGATTGAAAAAGCAGGGAAGAAATGGTTTTATCTACTTTTCTTCAAAAAGAAGGTTCTTACCTGTCTGCTTCCACAGCCATAGAACAGTTAGAGAGCTCTGTTGATGGGCACTGGCTGTGGGGTCCGTTAACCCTATACCACAATGAGAGGCCCAGATTAAATGAGTTCAGTTTAGAGATAACCAAAGTTCTTTCCCATTAGTGCACACTCACTGCATGATCTCTTTCTGTTAGCGCTTTCTCTTTAATGTCAATGCATGCCCATCGCTTCAATAAAACATATAAAAAACAAAAACCAAGAAACATTTTCTCTAACTACATCTCTTTCCCTTCACAGACAGGCTTCTTAGTGCTTTGTATTGCTCTTCTCTCTGACCTCATATTTACTCCTGCTCCATTGCAGCCTGTCTTACACAACTTTATTCCAATGCTCTTGCTAAGGCTGCACATAAATACCTGACTGCTCTGTTGCTAAATTCAATGGGCCCACGTCACTTTTTATCTTACTGAAGCTTTGTGAAGACTTGGGACATTACAGTCCTTGAAAACTCTCTCCCCCACCCCCCACCCCCCCCTTTTTTTTTTTTAGCTTCTATGATACTGCTCTTTCCCTGCTTTCATTATTACCTATCTGGTTCTTCTTTCTCAGTCTCCTCTGGGTACGTTCTTTCAGCTTATTTCTTAAATCTTGGTGTTTCACTCTCTCCCTGTGTTAATTTGCATATTTTATAGTCTGCATGGGTCATCTTAACTATTCATGAATCTTCATATAGTTTCTATGTTGATGATCTTCAAATCTTCGGCCCAGATCTGTCCACCTGAGTTTCAACCTACACATATAATTGCCTATTGGACATCTCCACCCACATGCCCCATAGGCACCTTCAATTCAGCTTTCTTGAAATGGTCTAATTTCTATTCTGAAACCTTATCCTTCTTCCTCTCTCTCTTAGTGGTAATACTATCAGCCAGCTTGTCTAAGAAAGTAACTTTGACAGAATCCTTGATTCTTTCTCTCCTCCTCCCTCCAAATTCAATCGGTGACCAAGACACATTTTTTTCCTTGCCTGATAATAAATCCATTCTCTTATCTCCTGACCCCAAACTTATTCCCATTTCACAAGTCAGGCCCTAATCTTTTCTAGCTTGAGTTTCTATAAACATCTGTCTCTGTTTCCAGTCTTGTTCCTTGTTTTGCACCCAGTTTAACCAACTGTAGGGTGATCTTGCAGAAATGTAAATGTGATCATGCCATTCTTTTGCTTAAAATTCTTCAGTGACTGCCATTTTATGATAAAATCCTCAGTTCTCCTCCTCCTCCGCTGCCCTTTACTGCTTCCTCTGTTGGACTACTTTAGGGAAGATGGGCTAGAGTAATAGTTTAATCTCTAGCTATTTCATGCTTGGCTTCACTTTACTGAGGCTGCCAATTAGTGATTTAGAAGTGAACTCTTGTGTGCTCTGCTGTGAACTGAGGCCTGCTTTAAGTAGTCCTTGAAGAGCCTTTGGCCTTATTATCACTAAAAACCTGCACTGACTTGAACCTGTGACCTAAAGTTGAACATCTGTATATCCTGTTGACTGTCCCCTGAATTAGGAAAGTGAGCTTTGGAAATACTTTTGATATTTCTAAGTCCAATCTGGCCTAAATAAAGACACATATTCTCAATTTGATAATATTTTTAATGTAATCTTTTCGGACATAGAGAGTAGTGTTTCTTTTTGTCTACACTCCCCCCTTCTTATAATTGCTTTTTAGAGAGAGTAGATCCTTTCAACTCTACTGACTTTTATAAAATGGTATATGAGCACCTTCACTTTCTTGTCTTGTCATCTGTCTTTTTCTGGTTTTAGGAATGGAAAGTAACAACATTTGGGTGTGATCCTAACAGCAGGAAACATCCTCACTCCTGGCTGATTCACAAATTGCCCCTGTCTTGCTTGCCATTTCAAAGAGAGGACAGAACATAGAATGGACAAGAAAATTAAAGAGGCTGTGGATACACACCAATTCTACTTACAGAGGCAAGGAAGGATCAGTAAATAAAGAAAAGATATGCAAATATCAAAGATAACCACAGGTTAAAAAAATATATATGTATATAAAGAAAGTAATTCATTAAGATTAGGTATGGGGAGTACAAAAGGAGAACCTGTTTTCTTTAGAAAAAAATCCCTTTAACAATGTTAATAAATTGCTTTTTCAGCTGATAAATAAAATATGGTTTGTATAAAATGTTCTTAAAGGTCATCAACTAGACAGTTATCACAGTGAACTTTCTCCCCTCTACCTCTTAGTCTTGTCTATAGCCTGAAGGAAATGATTGTTGAGGGGGGAAAATCAACACGATGCATCTTACACAAGGATGTCCTCCACCAGGGTGTGAAGGGCACTGGGATTGCGGATCAGTTTGTCAAGGAAGCTGACAATGTCAGTAAATTTTGGTCTGTGGTTTCTCTCCTTCTGCCAGCAATGGAGCATCATCTGGTGTAGAGATGCTGGACAGCCCATGGGAGCCGGAAGTCTATAACCTTCTTCAATGGACAGAATGACCTAAATGCAAACATACATAGGTTAGTCTCTTACATTTTGGAACAAATAACAGAATATATGCTAAATTATAATTCCTTTTTATACAGCAAGTAGAGGCCAAAATTTTGGTAAACATGAAAATGACTTGTGAGTACAAGCAGCCCAAACAAACAAAAAATACACAAGTTGCAAGTATTTACATTAATATCTGCTGAGAACTCTTTGAGGAAAATATGTTTTTAAACATCAGGGGCATTCAGAAGGGAGGTTAAGCTTCATCACAATTTTGAGAAATAGTTCATGTGTGATTTAGCTGGGATGTCTCAAAACCCAATTAGGACATCAGAAAGTCAGCATTAGATTGATGCATTTTGTGCAAACCACCTGTGGCAAATGTTTTAAGTAAAATTATACCTCTGCTAAAGCACTGAACTCCTGAGTCATTTTTTATCCTTTTATAATAATGTCTGTGTGTATTCTTTTGCTGGCTAGCATTCCTTCTTTTTCTTAATTGCCTATTTAATTTCTCTTTGCTTACTTCTGGCTGCTTACTTCTGGCTTTCCCTAGTCTGACACTGATGTGATTATGAAGTCCTTCAGAACTTGTAGGGCCATTCAATCCTTAAAATCCTATCAATGGCTATCTTCAGGCCACAGAGTATTAGGGTCACTCAGCCTGAGTATCCTTGGGGGCAGCACTGTTCAGTTGAACTTTTTGTGATGACAGAGATCTGTCCAACATGACAGCAAGTAGTCACATGTACCTGTTGAGTACTTGAAATGTGGCTAATAATACTGAGGAACTGAATTGTGTGTTTTAGTTCATTTTAATTAATTAAAATTATTTAAGTAGCCACATGTGGCTAATGGCTACTTTACAGTGTGGCTCTAGTGAAAGGAATCTCTAGAAGAAGTCAAAATTAAGATTAACATGATGATAGAAAGTTTTTTTCCCTTAGGAAATCTCCTTGAAGATAAAGCAGGATTGTCATCTATTTCAGATACAGCACACCTGAGAATTTCCTAATAATATCATATAATTGACTCTGAATTTATACAGCTTATTTTTTTTATGAAGTGTTCAAAGGATTCGTGTGACCCTTTATTCTCATATCATCTCTGGAAGAAAGACAAAGAAAAGGGTTCGTTCCTCATTTTTGAGGTGGGAAACTGAGGAACAGACTGATAGATAAAGACAGGCACAATTCAACCTCATCCCTCTTCTTCATCAACATAGAAATACAAAAATGCAAGTGCTAATACTTTTAACAAAAGACCTCTCTTTACTATAGCAATAGCTACATGATTTCTTGAATTTGTAAAAATATATCTTAATTTCTTTTTTGATGGACACTATTGGACAGGACTCTGAAATATACATAATTTATGCTAGAGGCAGTTTGTAAAAAAGGAGAAATAATATGCCTTCCAGAATTTCTTAGCTGCCAAGCGTCAGCTTTTTTGTAATAGGGGATTTCTCATAACTCCATCAGTGTCTTTGTGACCAGAACATTTTAACCCATCAGAATAATATTGTTTTTGTATTCATTTTATCCCACTATTGAACAGGACTTTTTTTTTTTAAACTGTTTTCTGATTATTTTTGCTACTGACTAGGCTTGGGTTTTAAGATATTTTGCAACACATTTTAGTATAAAATAGGATGTGTGTAAAAATGCTTGCACATATCAAAACTACTGTGGAGAGTTTTGAAAAGTAACTAAGAAAAATAGGATAGAAAAGGATATGAAAATGCTGATTTGAAGGGGCACATGCACCCCAATGTTTATAGCAGCACTATCAACAATAGCCAAATTACGGAAAGAGCCCAAATGTACATCAATTGATGAATGGATTAAGAAGATGGGATATATTTACACACACACACACACACACACACACACACTTGAATATTACTTGGTGATGAAAAAGAATGAAATCTTGCAACAATGTGGATGAAACTGAAAGGTATTATGCTAAGCAAAATAAGTCAGTCAGAGAAAGGCAGATATCATATGGTTTCATGTGGAATTTGAGAAACTTTACAGATGAAGATAGGGGAAGGGAAGAAAGAATAAGATAAAAACAGAGAGGGAGGCAAACCAAATGATTCTTAAATACAGAGAACAAACTGAGAGTTGATGGAGGTTAGAGGGTCGGGGGTGGGTTAAATGGGTGATGGGCATTAAGGAGGGCACTTTTTGGGAAGAGCACTGGTGTCATATGTAAAAGATCAATCACTGGGTTCTACTCCTGAGGCCAAGACTACACTGTATGCTAACTAACTTAAGAAAGAAAGAAAGAAAGAAAGAAAGAAAGAAAGAAAGAAAGAAAGAAAGAAAGACAAATAGGATAGAATTCCATTATAAAAAGACTTTAAAATCCTACCCTAGGAGAGCTGTCTTGTTGATTGACCACAGTTACCTAATTTTAAGTGCATAGAATAAAATAGATGACAAGTAAGGCTACACTTTGAGAAAAAAAAGTATTAGCTGCTTTTATTGAGTATTCATCATGCTTTAGGTGATTTGCATTTTCATTGACTGCTTAAAATAATTCAGTATAGTAGTTATTATTATCTCTATTATTATTATTTTTAAAGTCTTATTTATTTAAGTAATTTCTACACCCAATGTGGGGCTCAAAATCCTGACTCAAGAGTCACACACTCTACTGACTAAGCCAGCCAGGTGCCCCATATTATCCTAATTCTTACATGAAAAAAATTTAGACTTAGAGACGTTAGGGAAATTGCCTAAATTCACACAGCATAGATGGCAGAGCTAGCATATAAATCTAGTTCCTTTAGCTTCCAAACTTTTCCTCTGACCATTCCTCAGAAATGTTTTCAGTTCTCATGATAACATCTTTCTTTCCAATTTTATATCAACTAACGCAATTTTAGGAGTGATTGCCATGTTACTTTTTGTCATGGCACCTGGCAATTGGACTTGGGTGCTTTTATTTGGATCCCAAATTTTATATTCTGGGTAAATCAAACACATATTTACTTCACAGTTTGCAAAATGTTATCTCAGGTTGAACAGAGTCATTTTTGAATGCTTCTGAGTCTTGCACACATTTCTATCATCGCTTCTATTACATTGTATTGTAACCATTCATCTGCTTTTCCTCTAAGGCTATACATAGTTGAAAGCAGGAATTATGTCTGTAGATTTTACATTCTCATCATTTAGTATGGTGCCTGACACATTAATAAATGTTATTGAACAAAACCAAAGCTATTAGAAAAAATTTTTGGATTTGTTTTGATAAAATAGCAGATTCTTAGAAAACCCAAAGTTTCAAGCTACCCAAGATGGATTCAGAGTATGAATATGACAGCATTTCAAGTCCCCTCTGAAGGAAGTATTAATAAAAATTGGTGCATGAAGCAGCATTCTCCAAAATGACCTCATGATCTCCCTCTGGCTTGCTTGGACAGAAGCCAGTGACACTAGGGCCAGCTTTTCTCCAGGAAAGGATAGGATTCAGATTCAGCATTCTGTAAGACTGGTGGCTTCTTCCTCCTGGCTAGAGAGGTTACTATTTTCCAGTGGCTTCAAGGTCCTTAGTTGACTCTCCTAGACAACTCTCATAAACAGTTAATACCCAATACCACACTGCTTGGTGCCAAGCAGGCCATTCATATTCTCTTTAGACAAAATTGCTCTCGTAATTGTCCTATGAAAGGAGAGAGTGACAAGAAAGTATGGTCCGTCATCTGGAACCTTTATCCATATGAGTTCAGGACTGTGTCTGGCCCTAGCATGCTTTTCTGTTGGGAGAGTGGGAGGATCGGGAATTCATGACTTTTCTTCTTGGTGACCTCTGACTTTTAAGTTTCCTCAATTCTTTAACTTGTGATCTTGTGAAATCTGTTGAGGCCTGGTTCATGACATGTGTCAAACATGAAGGGTCCTTATAGGATAATAGTAATAACAACAGTAACAGTAGTGACAATAACACCTAATAGTAAATGAGAGCTCTTGGATACTTCCAGGTGCCAGTTCTAAATGATTTACACATATCAACTCTTATAATCTTCACAATAACCCTACAAGGTAGGTACTTTCATTATCCCTACCTTACAGATAAGGAATGTAAACATAGAGAGGTTTGACTTGCCTAAGACTGCACACCTAAAAGTTCTGGCTTTGAGGGAGCCAAAGATTAAGCAATATGATCCACAAATGGTTAAAAGACAGCAACATCTTTCTAAAAGATTTTTACATTTATTCATCCAAAGATATACATATAGTACAATTGAGCATACTGTCTATAAGACGTAACAAATAAGTAAAAAATACCTGTCTTTAGGAAACCTATATTCTAGTGAAGAAGACTGGGAAATTTGAATATAGTAAACACCAGTAGAACAGGCAGTTATGGCAGCTTATGGAAGGAATGCCTAAACCAGCCTTGGGAAGGCTTCTCAGAGGAGATGAGCTGGATTTTACAGGACATGTATAAGGCAGTAGAGTCAACTGGTCAGGCTGAAGGGAGATGTGATCTGATCAGGGAAGGAAAGTAGATTTGTTCAGCTAGACTAGAGTCTTCAAAGAGAGGCATGGTGAGATTTGAGTCTGAAAGGTTAGGAAAAATTATATTTCTTGGATCATGAATGATTTTGTATGCTACAAACAACTTTTTGCAAAGGGTTTAGGGTTTTAGCAAGTAAATGACACCAGATTTGCCTTTGGAGAGCTCACTCTGGTTGCAGTGGAGAGTATGCCAGAGGTGGGGGAGGGGCAGGATGCCAGGAGGGGGTCTTGTACAGATCCAGGAGAGAGATCAGGATGGCCTTAGTGGAGGCCGAGGCCATGGTGTACAAAAGTGGACTGATTTGACAGGAACACATGATAGGGTTAAGATTAGATGTGGCAGGACAGGTTTTTGGCTTGGTCAACTGGATAAGACAGAGGGCATGGGAAAAGAAACAATTTTGGGACTGGGCACTGATGAGCATCATTTCCTATGAGCCTTCTGGTTTCAAATTCAAGTAACATATATGGTACTGT